ATCCTGGATTTAGTGGCCGAGTATTTCCTCTTGTACATGGCCTTCCTGGAATACATGGCAGACCAGGAATATCTGCTGATGCCCCGGACTAGGACAGGGTTTCGGCTGCAATGGGGCTTCCCCTTCTTGGGCTTTTTAGCTTTGGGGTCATCCTTTTTAACCTTGCCACTGGCATCAGCCTTCTTGGCTTCAGGTTTCTTCTCATTAGTATCCTGCTTTGCAGCTTTATCGCCTGCCATCGTGTATAGTGGGAAAGAGAACTCCAGTATTTGTAAAGAGACTTTCTTTTCTCATTTAATGATTTTGATGTCTTTGTCAAAAATCAATTGCTTATAAAGGTGAGGGTCTATTTCTGGAACTTTCTGTTCTACTTTATTGATCTTTTAAGCAGTATCAAAGTGTTTTGATTGCAGCAACTCTGTAAGAAGTCTTGGAGTCAACTTATCTGTTTTTCTTTTCAAATTTGTTTTTGTTAAGTTCTCAGCATTTCCATATGAAGTTTAGGGTCATCTTGTCAATTTTTATTATCTATTTATAAATCATCAGTTCTTATAAACTTTTGTCACATTGCCTGATGGGATTTTGATTCGTGATTGCATTAAATATACAGGTCATTTTTTGGTGACTATATGTTTTAACAGTGTCGAGTTTCCCTCTTCATGAACATGGTGCATCTCTACTTTCTGTTTGATATGGTCTTGGCTCCTTAGGTAAATTCTGTTGTTATTGAGGTAATGGATTTGAGGCGCTTAGCATACTTAGCTTGGCACAGGTACTAAGCTACCCCATAGTGTTAATATTTATTATTAGGGCCATTAATTTTCACAAAACCTTATAAAGTACTTTCAGTTTGTATCTTTATTTTACTCACCTTTGAACTTGACCCCAGTTACACAGCTAGTAAATATTAGGGCAGGGTTTGGAATGAAGTCTTTATGATTCTTTTTTTTTTTTTTGGAGAGGTTTTTCACTATAGGGTGCGTGCGCTCACCAGACAGACAGAGACAGAGAGATAGAAAGCGAGAAATCACTCCCCAGGGGGGATGGTCACGCCACAATCCCTTCTCCTCCATTCTCCTCTTGGGATCTTGGGCACATACGCACACGCGCCCGGCGTGAGTTTTAAGCCACCGGGTCCGGGACAAGACCCGCGGTCTACTACGTGGGAGTTCAGCGACATAGCCATTACGCTAACTGCTGGTTCCCAGGTCTTTATGATTCTGAAGGCCATGGTTGTAAATGTAGTGGCACTGGATGGGAGCTGTGAATTGTTTCTTGCTGTTTTGGGGATGGCCTTATATATTGAGAAATTAAGGTTAGTTTCCAACAGCAGAATTTACCCTGAATGGTTTCAGGAACACAGGGATTTAGTGACGAATATACTAGCTCGTGGTTCCTGCAGCAGAGCCATACTCCAGGTTTGCGTGTGCCGGGCCACCCTGCACATCTCCTCTTGTGAAAGCGTCAGCACCCGAGTCCCAGTGATGTGGGGGTGCAGTGGTGCTCAGGCCCAGCACCCTCAGCAGGAGGCAGGATAGAGAGGCACTGGTTCTTGTTCGTGACTCACAAAGAATTAGAGACATGGACATAGGCTAGCAAGTGGAGTTTCATTAGGTAGAAGAAAGAAGAGCCTTTCACAGCTTGAAAGGGGAGCTCTTGAATGAGAAGCTCCTGAGGCGCTGAGGTGAGGGTTCTTTATTTTGGTCAGGAGGGGCTCTGTTCAGGATTGTTCTAGGGAGGGGCTTATGCATGCATTCCCTTTATGGAGGGGGTTGCATGTTAGATGGGTCTGGTTATTCTCCTAATTTTGGAGAACATATGAAGGTCATGAGACTCTTTGTTTAAAAGACCATTATATTTTTCTCAGAATATAGTGGGAGCTGGAAAAACTCCTAATTGCTGTATTTGGTTTAGATTTTGTTGCTTAGATTAATCATTGAGTCACTGCTGTAAGCCATTTTATTAAAAAGTACATGTATATATGTGTATATTACACATTCAATCACTGTATATCATTACAACATGCAAAATAAATTTTCCCAGCATGAATAAACTGTATATTTGTCCAGTTAAAGATAGTATCATACATGTTATTTTGCGCACACAAGTGTGCGTGCACACACATGCCAGTCGAAAAGTCAGTGGCCTCTTGGACCTTGACTTTAATTGTTCTTTTGTGTGCCCTACAGGGAGCTTTACAATGTTGGTTATGTTCTGAGGGGCAGGTGATAGGGAGGAGAGAAGTTTAGGTTTCCAAAGAGCTGGTTTCAGCTGGTTAAAACCCTGTCTTACCACCTCGCTAGTTTCTGCCTCACTAGCAGTACATTCCAGAGCTCTGCCCAGCCTGACGGCTGCATGGGTCAGAAGTTGGTGCCTCCTTTATCTGTGACCCCCTCGTGTCGCCTCCTCTGACTCCAGGTTTGCAGGGGTGTGCATGTCTCATCAAAGGAACTGGATCACTCATGACCTTTTTAGAAAAGCCTGAGGACTGGGAGGTAGTGAGCTTGGAATTTGGACTGAGAAATTCCCTGGAACTGTACGTGATCTCCTAGTGTCTCTTGCTGCTTATTTATAGGGAGGTTTCTCTATTGACAGTAATATCAGGAAGCTTCATAACCGGAACCTACGCAGCAAGTCCTTAGCTGTTACACAGACTGTAGGTGAGCTCTGTCCCCTCCATAACATGTTTTCTCTGGTGATTACACAAGTTGGATTAGTTGAATTACCAGCGATTCGACCTTAGATAAGTTACTGTTAACCTCTCTGCGCATCAGTTTTCTCACCCAAGAATTCAGACAACTGTAATACCGCATTAATAGTGTCATTTAAAGGTATCCTTTAAAAGTATTCTTCTAAGCTACTACACATGAAACGTTAACATAACACCAGTGCGAAGAAGGTACTACAAAACATGACCTGTTCTCTACACGCCCTTTACGTATGCATCCTGCGTCTAAATGGAGAAAGAGCTCAGCTGAGAATGGTTACGGGGTTGGCAGAAAAAGCTTTGACTTTTTAAGATACCACAAGTGTGGGGACCAGCAGTTAACAGAATGCTATGTCGCTGGACTCCCACGTAGTAGACTGCGGTTCATGTCTTGGACCCGGTGGCTTGAGACTCATGCTGGGCGCGTCTGCGTGTGTGCCCAAGATCCCAAGAATGGAGGAGAATGGAGGAGAAGGGATTGTGGTGTGGCCATCCCCCTGGGCAGGTGATTTCTCGCTTTCTATCTCTCTGTCTCTGTCTGGCGAGTGCACGCACCCTATAGCAAAAAAAACACAAAGCCTTTCCCCCCCTCAAAAAAAGATACCACAAGTGGTCTAATTGTTTCAAAGTGGGAGAATATCTGGTAGTAACAAAATAGCAGTCTTTGCTTCCTACTGGGGTTTATGTTGATCAGCTCAGACAAGTGCCATTGAGATATTCATGGCCATTGTCCATTTCCTGCAGGCTCTCCATAGCTGTGCAGCGTGTGCGGTAGAGCCGAGCGCATCCGGCCCAGTCAGTGTCATTACTGTACCTCTGCTGAGGCTTGCCTCTCATAGGCTCCCTCTCTGCCCTGTCCAGCCCTGCCCGGGTGACAGCAGAGCCATCAGTGTCACTTGGCACTCATGCCTGTGCCTGAGGAGAGGGAAAGACACTGCAGAGAGCCTGCTAATTCTGCAGCAGCAGATAGGAAAATGTGGGCTGCTTCTGTCCATCCTCGGAGCAGCAGAAAGGCTGAGAAGCTCTCCCCAGCTAAGCGCGCCCTCCCGCCCAGCTGGAAAAGAGCCTCTGATGCTCTCCCTCTCTTAGGTATGTGATTGCATCACAGAAGAGGCCCTGGCAAAGCACGGAGGTGTGTCTTAGCTTCTGCCTTCACTAAGTTGAAGGACGCTGTAGAGAATTCCTAGAGCAAGGCTTTGGCTCCCAAGGAGCTTAGCTTTGGTTTTATTTTGTCCTGTGCAAGAACCAACATAACTCAGTGGCATTGGCTCTCCTCCATTTGTTCTCAGTCGCTCTGCCTTGTGACTTGCTTCTTACCTTTGTCCACTTGTCTGTCTCTGAAGAACTCTTTCATGTGAGTGGAGATGCTACTGTGCTAAGCCTGATGGCTGCTTTTCAGGGCACATTCCAGGGGAGTCTGGAGCTAGTCGCTGTGTGAGGCTGGACAGTGCTGCGAGTGCTCCCGATCACAAGAGGCCTGGGAGGCAGACCCAGCATGCCTCCTGGGTGGGTAGGGCCTCAGCAGTGGTGCAGCAGCTGTTAACCCACCTGAGCTAGTGAGAGGTGGAAGGTCATTGCCTCTAGTTCGGGGAGGCTTGGACAAGGGCCTTCACTTATCTCGTGGCACGTGCAGACACTGTTCTGTCCTTCCCTCACCACTCCAGGCACAACTGTGCTCTGACCCTTGCTTCTGTTCCCAGCTGAGGTCCTTTCTTTGCCATTTCTGTTTCTGCTTTCTCACACTCTGCAATTCTGTTTTTTCTTTACGCTGCTGGTGGCTCAGTTGAGTCAGACAAACCTTGTTTTCTTGCAGTCTTTCCGTGGAGGGTGGGGCGGTGTCCAGGTTCACTCAGCAGTCTCCCCCACTCAGGTTTGGGCCAGTTTTCCTGAGTACATGTCCCTTTTCTGTCCCTAGGAGGCAGGTGTGCTCCCTAGCCGCAGCCGGGGGCTAGGGTTAGCTGTCCCCGGGTCGTACTTCACCAGGGCTTCTGTGCTTAGTAGGTGAAGCATCCTTCAGGGAGCGGCCAACCTGCGGACCTTACCTCGCTGTCCTGCCTTAATTTAAATAATGTTCCATCTTTTCAGAATGCATTGAAAATGGATATGTGAAGCTCACTGTGATACATTTAAAAAATGACAGAGAACACCTGCCTCTTATTGGAAAAGTTGGCTTCTTTTGGAAAACGAATGTTTTTGATGGCTATATACAGGTAAAAACAAAGTTTTCTTTCCTTCAATTAAGATGGTTTATGTATAATTTTAAAAAGTTTGTTAATATTTGTATAATCTTCTTTTATAATGTGGGATGATGTACTCTGGTTTCTGAAGACCTGTGCACGTTCTCCTAGCCTCTGGCAATCAGTTCACTCATCAAATGCCCACTGAGTGCCTTTGGTGTTGTACTGAGTGTGGTGGTGTAGGAGTGGCAGGAGTCTGCAGAGTGTTTTGAACAGCCCTGTGCTCCCTCAGAGCCCCTCTGTCGGTCTGTCTTGTGAAGAGAGGAGCTGAGGCTGGACCAGGCAAATGACATGTACTCCGAACATCATAATCACTCATGTGCAGACCTAAGATGGATTGCATTGGTACGTTCTTACTCCAGGATTTCCTTCAGTCAGAATTAGCCATGAGAATGGGAGAGTTGGTCTCGTGGTTGGGAGAAGAGGAACAGGAAAGAGGAAGAGAAGGAGATGCAGAGAAGAGGGAGGAAGTAGGAGGCACTAGGTCCAGCTTTGGCGCTATTCTCCATGTTCTTCAGAGCCCACCAAGGGAAGGAATATGTAGAGGAGATTGTAGGGACCTGCCTTAGGCGGGCTTCGGAGAGTATGGAGAACAGCACTGAAGCTGGTACCTCTTCTTGGGCCTGCTGGATGGTTGACTAATTTGCATGTTCTCAGTCACATTTTTGGGTTCAGTGTGAACACTGAGTTACCCTTAGAGTTCCCAAAGGGACAAAGCCAGGGAAGTGATGTCAGTGTTCTGTGGTTGCCATGCAGATCAGAAATTCCCTACTAGGAATCTGATCATTAAAGCTTAGCAAAACAGTAAAGTGTACTTAAGAAGTTCCTTTCAAGGACTTACATGGTTTTTATAAAAAAGGGGCTTAAGAGGGCCAGCAGGTGGTGAGGTGGTTAAGGCACTGGACTCTCACATGGCTGACCACAGTTTGAGTCCTGGACCTGGTGACTTGAAAATCATGTAGGGTGCATGTGTATACATGCCCAAAATCCTTAAAGGAGAATAGAGTAAATGGAATTGCAGCATGGCTATCTCCTCTAGGGGCTGATCTCTTATTTTCCTTCTCTCTCTCCCCGCCACCCCCAGCAAGCACACGTGCCCTATAGTAAACTTAAAAAAAAGAAAGATTATGGGCGTGGTGGCGCCCGTCCTATGGCAAAAAAAGAAAGATTACATTATACACAGATCAATTTCCTTCCTTCCTTCCTTCCTTCCTTCCTTCCTTCCTTTCTCTCTGTCTGTCTGTCAGTCTTTCTTGGATGGGTAATGATATCAATTACAATTTAAAGATGCTTACAGTGGCTGAACGTTGGTATGAATCTCACAGAACAGGGCTCTGTAAATGGTTACCATGCTGCCCGAGCAAGTCGTGTGAGCAGCTCAGCTGCCCTGTCAGGTTAGCCCTGCGTGGTCTGCAGTGCAACTCAAAATCAAGTGCTCTCCTGCTGTGTCTTCTTATAGTTTCTGTCAGGATTTCTGACCGACGGATTTTCTTTTGGTTAGCCTTTCTTGTGCGTGTGTGTTTCACTCTCTTCTTTCATGCCTTGACCTCTTTTGATGATGTTGTTTTAATGTGACCCTAAATCTATATGAAGTTTAGCATCAGTTTTAATTTAAATGAGGTATTTAGAACACTCTGTGGTTCTGCTTTCCCAGAAGAGTTGAATTCAGTAGAGCTGACAAAGTGGCAGCCAGTTTACATCGGTCACTTCTAAACCATCCAGTTTTTTTTTTTTTTTTGAGAAGTTTTTGCTATAGGGCGCGTGCGCTCGCCAGACAGAGAGAGACACAGAGACAGAAAGTGAGAAATCACCCCCCAGGGGGGATGGCCACGCCACAATCCCTTATCCCCCGTTCTCCTCTCAGGATCTTGGGCACGCACGCACACGCGCCCAGTGTGAATTTTAAGCCACCGGGTCTGGGACGCGAACCGCGGTCGACTACATGGGTGTCCAGCGACATAGCCATTACGCTAACTGCTGGTCCCTAAACCATCCAGTTTTTCAACTTACGGAATATTTTTGTTCCTTAAATTTATCATTCGAATTAAAACCCTTTGATCTGATCATGCTAGGGTCCAAAGGGTTAGCACTTCAGGCCACGTTTCATCAGTTATGACTTCCAGAAGCAGTGGAATGCGGTGATCGCTTCACACGGATAAATAGCTAAGGGTAACCATTTAAATTACAATGAAAAATGCTAACATAGGGCACAAGTCAAGGTGAAGAATGAGCCATGTCAGAGGTGGTAAGTACTGCAAGGTTTTATCCTTGTCTTCGTCTCTGAGCTTCCTTAGAATTAAACGAAACAGTACATGAGAGTTTCGCCTGGTCAGTGTCTGACACGTAGAGCATGTTAAAAGGTAGCCCTCTGTACAGCCTGTCCGTAGAGGCATTGCTCACAGCTGTAGGCAAGAGAGACCCAGGTGTCCTAGCAACAGCTGCAGGGGTAAACTGGTGTATCTGTACAAAGGGACAGTCTCTGGTCGGAGAGGAAGGACCTTCCTGCATCGGCGGCAGTGTGGGAGAGCTCGGGGGGCGTCACGCTGGGAGATACGCAGTCTCAGAGGACAGGTACTGTGTGGTTCCACTTGCAGGAGGTTCCTATGGTTGTCAGATCACAGAGACAGAAAGTAGAAGTGTGAGCACCGAAACGCCAGGGTCTGGGCAGGTGGCAGGGGGACTCGGTGTGTAACGGTTTTTTAAAACCAGGAGCTCTGGAGATGGATTGTGGGGCGGCTGTTCAACCCAGGAGGGTGTCGATGCCCCATTCTTAGTAGAATGGCCAGATTTGGAGCATTCTGTGTTTATTTATTTATTTTATTTTATTTATTTTTTTAATTACAACTTGTTTTTATTTTACATTTTTCCACAAACATTTACTTTACATAGCAAAGAATTTTAGCTCATACTCCATAATTCTTGACAGTTTACAAACAACTTTCAAAGTTTCAAAATACTGAATTTTAAAGATAATGTTCAAAATATGTCTTATAATTTTGTATAATTTTATAACTCTATAACAACAGAAGCAGTATGGTTTCAAATATATATATATA